ACAATACTCAATAGCACCCGAATAGAAGTGTGTTTCACCACCGGAGAAAAGATCTCATTGTAATCCACACCCTCTTTTTGTGCAAACCCTTTAGCCACTAGCCTCGCCTTGTACCTTGTACCACCGAGCTCTGAAGGATCTTCCTTTCTCTTATACACCCACTTACAACCAATAGCTTTTCTTCCTACGGGCAATGGGACCACCTCCCATGTTTGGTTCTTCCGAAGAGATTCCATCTTCTCCTCTATCGCAGCCAACCAACTCTCATTATCTTTATCCCGAATAGCTTCCTTGAAGGAGATCGGCTCATCTTCCTCCACCGAGAGTGCGTATTCAACCAAATTAACCTGCCCATAGTGCTTCAGGGGTTGATCAGCCCCCAGCTTCTGTACCTGCTTGTATGCTCGCTTTGGCATAGTGGAAGCCAAAGTATCCTCGAGCTGCTGCTGTTGTAGTGCTTGTGTATTTTCTTGCTGAACCTCCTCCTGCTCAAGCTCATCATCTACCTGATTTCCCACTTGAACATGACTAGAACCTGGTTGGTCTTTAGGTTCTATCTCAATAACCTGGGACTTTGAAGTCCCAACAGTCCCAACACCATCATCCTTGGGCGCCCTAGCAATCATGGATTTTTCATCAAAGGTAACATCCCTGCTGATCACGAACTTTGAATCTTCTGTACACCAAAGGCGGTAGCCTTTTACGCCCTTCGCATACCCTAAGAATATCGCCTTCTTAGCCCTCGCGTCAAGCTTTCCCTCGTTGACGTGATAATAGGCGGTACATCCGAAAATTCTGAGCCTCTCATAATCTGCATGTTCCCCTGACCACACCCTATAGGGTGTATCACCATCCAATGTCGAATGTGGAGAACGGTTCACAATGTAACATGCTGTAGCCACCGCTTCTGCCCACCATTCGTTGCCCAATCCAGCATAAGATCGCATACTCATTGCCTTCTCCCGCAATGTTCGGTTCAGTCTCTCCGCGACCCCGTTCTGCTGTGGTGTTGACCTGACTGTCCAGTGTCGAACAATGCCCTCCTGATCACAGAACTCCTTGAAAGCACCGTCTGTATACTCTGTACCGTTGTCAGATCTTAGTGTCTTCAATTTCTTGCCCGTCCTGTTCTCAACCATTGCTTTCCACTTCTTGAATGTCTCGAATACCTCATTCTTATGCTTAAGAAAATAAATCCAAGCATATCTCGAATGATCATCTATGAACGAGACAAAATACCTGGAACCACCCTTGGAAGTTGTCTGAGCCGGACCCCAAACATCCGTGTGCACATAATCTAGTATACCTCTGCTCTTGTGATTGCTTTTCAAGAATTGGACCCTGTGCGCCTTTCCGTACACACAATCCTCGCAAAAATCCATGCAAGGTTTCTTCAGATTCTTCAGCAAACCCTCCTTACCAAGCAGAACCAGACCCTTCTCTGACATGTGCCCAAGCCGCCTATGCCATAACCGGGTGTGCTCACATGGGTCTCCACCACTTCCATCAGTTCCAACCGCTGCATCTCCTGTCACCGTCGTACCCGAGAGAGTATATAGATTACCGTGACGAACACCCTTCATCACTGTTAGGGAACCTCGAACAACCTTCTTTACTCCGTTCTCTGTAACAATCTTGCAGCCACCGGAGTCTAATGCACCCACTGAGATAAGATTCTTCCGCAAGTCGGGAACGTGCCGCACGTCCGTTAGGGTTCTGACCACTCCATCATGCATCTTGATTTTTATATCACCGAGCCCCACCGTTTTACAAGCATGGTTATTCCCCAGCAATACAGTTCCACCATCAATGCTCCTATAGGTAGTAAACCACTTCCTATTTGGGCACATGTGGTAAGAGCAACCTGAATCAAGTATCCACTTACCGGAGGTATCTTCGCCACCCGTAACAACATAGCATTCTTTATCGCTCCCTTCCTCCGATGCGTAACTCGCCTCTTCCTTGCCTTCTCTTCTCTCGGTCTTGTTGTTGTTCTTTTTCCCACCTACTCTCTTGTTAGGACAGTCAACCTTGAAATGCCCAACTTCACCGCATTTGAAGCACACTCTTCCCGCAAGAGGTCTCGATTTAGATCTAGACTTTCCTCCCTTGCCTTTTCCTCGCTCATTGCTCCTTCCTCTAGCAAACAATCCCTGCGCTTGTTCTTTGTTACCACCAGTAGTCATGTCACCGGTTGCAATCTTTCGAAGGTCATCCCCTAGAAGCGCCGTTCTAGTCTCATCCATCGTCAAATTGTCTCCCACAAGCATCAATGTTTGCACCAGGTTCTCATAAGACTTCGGCAGAGATAGAAGTAATAGAAGAGCCTGATCCTCATCTTCTACAGTCACATCGATGTCCTTCAGATCCGATATAATCCTATCGAACTTGTTGATATATTCCCGGATTGATGAGCCCTCCTCCATCTTGCAAGTATACAATTTGGATTTCAAATAGATCCGGTTTGTTAGACTCTTCGTCATGAAGGTGCTTTCTAACTTCAACCACACGCCCGCGGTCGTTTCCTCTCCATCTACCAAGAAAGCTACATCCCTTTCAAGGCAAAGGATAATCGACGCCCGTGCTTCCAGATCCAGCTCCTCCCAATCCTCATCAGACATATCCTTGTGCTTCTTCTCTTTTCCCGCCAAAGCTTTGTGCAATTTCTGCGAAATCAACGTGTTCTTCATCTGCATCCTCCAATAGGAAAAATCATTCTTCTCATTGAATTTTTCAATCTCGTATTTTCCCACTTTAACTGTTTTACTTGTTGACGCCATTCTCCGCTTGTCTCAGGAAATTACCGAGCACCACCTCAAATCAGAAGCTACACCACTCCCAATCTGAATAACAGCTCTGATACCAATTGTTGGGCGCATAGTCACGCCCACCGCCGCGGAAGCGATATCAACTGAGAGAAAGCCCTGGCTTTTGTTGTCACAAAAGCACAAGTCAACCTCTATATTCTTGTTTCTCAAAGGAAACGAGAATAGATAATGAAATTCTTATTTCTCAAAGGAAACAAGAATCGAAAGTGATATATTTCATCAAAGTGAAATATACACTCTTCCTCTCATCAGCTCTAAGACCGAATTTTGAGGGATCCTACAAGCAATAGCCAACAACCCAGAAAACAGTAAATACACGAGATTTACGTGGTTCGGCAAACTTGCCTACGTCCACGGGAGGGGTGAGGGGAGATTCCACTATGAGAAGAACACCGACGACTTGTACAATCCACAAGCTCGTCTGAAAGAAAAAGATCTAATTTTTACCCAAAAGAAATTAATCTCTCTTTTGTAAATCCCTCTTTTTCTCTCCTCAAAATCTCTCTTTTTCTCTCAACAAACACCAGCAATTCCCTCTGCTCAGCCGCCAAAAGAAAACAAAATCCCTCTCTGACTTTTGCGATTTTTCCCAGCAGCTTTTTACCAAGCCGCTGTTCCCTTGCGTTTTGATTTCCCACACAGCCGAAAACCCTAGGGACATTAGGCTTATATAGGAGATTGATGCGGTTATAAGCCTAATAAATGGGCCTTGGCTTTTACCCGCTGGAATTGGGCAAAGCTCCTCATGCACACGTAGAGGTGTGGCCCCCACATAAACACCCCTGTTCACAATATATATTTAGATCAAAGTTAATTTAAATAAGCCATCGCAGCTAAGAGATTAATGCACGAACCAAATGCTCCGATACCATGTTGATAGAAGTGGGGAGAAATTATACTTTGGATCGGTGCTCTGATTTGTAGCTAGCGACGACCTACTCGGATCTCGACAATGGAGGGAACTACGACTGATGAGACTCGCCCACACTATTCACGACCCACACAATAACCTCCGTTTCATTCTCTCGAGTCCTTGCCAATTTGAGTATTTTTAGTTGTTTATTAGATATGAAGTCTTTATCTCTATTTATCGTTCAGTTAGCTACCAAATCCTTATAGATAGGAATAATCAACCCAAAAGATTAGATCTCCCTAGCTAACATCTTGATCCTATGGTATATTTCATAACGAAGGCACATCATGATTTTGGGATATGGCAGCTGACTAAGGGCGCCCAAAATCCCAACATTGATCACTGACTGTAGAAAGAAATAATTCAAAGAGGGCTATGTAGATGCATCTTTCTTCTCGTTAAACATCACATATGATGAATATTCTCAGTCTGTTTTATACTTCCCTTTGCACGTATGTTTTTTGAGTCTATCAGTTTGCAGGCTTGTTGGATTGGAATCATGTTAGATTTATAAGTTTTATATGAATGAGATTTTAGATGTTATCATGTCGATTTGATGACTATTAGAGTATTAAATTATAACTCTCAACCTTCACACGTTGATGACTTCACAGAAAGAGAGATAAATATAACGAGATTCATTTGTTACAATATATGACTAGCTTAACTTAGCGGCCGGAGAAAATAGTATAGCTAAGTTTCATCTAACAAAATGAGTTACCGGTTGCGATGTTGATAAGTGAAAAATTAAACAAAATGAGTACTGGACTGAGTCTATGATAAAGATTCTTGATAGAAACACACAACACAGTAACACGGCAATCGCACATGCTCGTACAAAGGCAAACATTTGTTAGGAACCTAAATTGGTTCTTTTCTTCTTGTGACGATTCATACCACAAATTACTCATTGCCATCCACTCGACCGCTTTAAGATTCCAGATGACGAGAAGGGACAAGATTGCATGATCTTGGCCGATCGAAGCACCATCAAATTTTGCGTGTGGTTGTTCACGACTTGGAGTCTTTATCATGTTTGCACTTACTAGACATAAATGATAATATAATTAACTTAGCGGCCGGAGAAAATAGTATATATGTAGCTACATAACTAAATGGAATAACAGAGTATATGCAGTTGATGCGAAAAATGGAATTATCATGTTTGACTTTGTTTATATATATCAAAGTTTTCGACATAATTACTTTTCCATAGGAAACGAAAGCAACAATAAATTACTTAGAAGAAAATATACACATTCAGTCAAAGTCATATTGTTTGTATAGAAGCCTAGATCACAACAAATGAAAATATTCGTTCAGAGTATTTGTGATGTACGTACGCCAATACGTTTATGAATATTACAGAATACAACCAAACACTTCTCTGCGGGTTATGCCAATTTTGAGCTTTCAGAGACGTATTCAATTAAGCGAGTGAGGTTCTCATAGGAAGACCCCCCTTCTTCCATCGCCTTCCAAGCATTTTGTGCGAGTTTTGCAGCCCTACCCCTCCTCTCCTTGCTTTCTTCATCAGTTTCATCATCCATCAATCTCGAAATAGCCTTCTCCACAGCTTCTCCCTTCACCGACACTTCGTTTTCCTTCATCATGTAAACGGGTATCCTAACGCCGATATCGACACCGACCTTGAGCACTTCCACAACCAGTTTTTCGTTAAGAAACTGGTCCGCAAAGTGCGGCCACGTTATCATCGGCACTCCCGCGCAGACCGCCTCCAGTATCGAGTTCCATCCGCAGTGCGTCACGAACCCTCCGACAGAAGGGTGAGAGAGAATCACCGCTTGTGGGGCCCACCCCGTGATTACGAGGCTTCTTTCCCCGGCTTCCATCCCCTCGAGCTCTTCGGACATCCATTGCCTGAACTCCGGACAGCACTCCTCCTCTTCCTTGAGCACCCAAATGAACGGGCGGTTCGATGCTAATAATCCACGTCCTATCTCGATAAGTTGGCATACTTTCGTGCGGACAAGGCTACCAAAGTTGACGAATACAACGGATCTTGTCTCCTTCGAGTCCAGCCAGCTCGACACCTGACGCTCATCAACGGATGATTTCTTACCCCTTGAGGCCTTGCTGGTGAAATCTTTGTTGTACAAAGAAAATGGCCCGATGGGCCAGACGGGCTTTTTTATCTTTTTCCTATAGCATTCGACGAATTCGGGCTCCAATTCATGGAAAGTATTTACAATGACACCCTGGGCCGATACCTCTGCCTCCATAGCCTTGTCCCGGACCTCTTTCCAATCCGGCCCGGGAAACCAGCCCGGGGCTTGGGCCCTTGAGATTTTTACCTGTTGGGCCATGTCGGGTATAACTATGGGCTCAAACTCATCCACTTCGTGATATTCCTTGTGCTCCCACAGGTTTTGAAAGCATAGAATGTAAAAACACGATGGCCCGTGGAAGATTATCCTCGGAATATCCATCTCCTGAGCGATCCCGGCAGTGAACGAGCTGCAATAATCCACGATCATGCAGCTCGGGACGGGCTCAACATCTCGAACAAAAGATTCAAAAGGCCCGCGAAGCAAGCTTACCGCGTCGAAAAAAGGCCTAGTTAGATCCATGGATGGGAGAAGGTCGACGTTTTCACAACCTTCCGGGAGTCCGCTTTCAGCACAAGGGAACGTGAGCTCGACGAATCGGATGGGGAGTCCGTGGGACTTGACTCGATCTATAATGGGCCTTATTCGGGCCGCATTGACAGGAGTGGTGACGAAGCTAACGAGAGCGCCACGGGCCGCTATGATTTGGGCCATGTCCACCATGGGTATCATATGGCCTTGGGCCATTAATGGGACTAAAACGAAGTGACATTTGTGATCATTGGAGCCATTGAAAACGGTTAGCTCGCCCATAGTGTAGTTTGGCCTCAGAGTGAAGGAAGAATGGGGTTTGAATTGGTGTTGTGAGCTTAAAAAGAGAGGAAAGATAAGACGATTTGAATGAGAGGACCCCAATTATTAGAATAACGTGTGGCCTTTTACCCCCCACCCCCTCTCGTGTGCGTCCCTTTTAGTGGTTTGATTGGGGAGATGAAGTCTAGAGAGAGTACGTGGTTTCCAACAGCGGACCATTGTCTAGATTTTGCCTGTATCTTGTATACTTCTGTAGATCCCAATGGAATTTGTTTACTTTCGAACGGTAGTCTTAATCATCTTGCGTATGTTTTCTTTTGTTTTTGAGCGAATGGCCCAACTCAAATCTTGTGAATGTCGGCCAAGTTGTTTGTTACGGTGGGCACAAGGAGACGAGAAGAAAGCACCACTGATGGCGCCAAGATTATATTTCAGAAGTGCCCTCATAAAATTTATCGAGGTTCTTTCTGAAATCTGTATTAACAATGTTATTATAACTTAATCCCTTATAGTGGCGTCTTATTTTAATTTCAGTGGTGTCCTAAATAGTAAAGATATATAAAAATATATTTATAATAGATAATCCAGTGGTCCTAGACACTATTGGAAGCTATGTGGCTCCGCCACCAGGAAGCGCATCATGCTGAGTTTTTGGACAAGCCAAAGGTGACTTGTCGTAAATGAAAAAAAATTGTTGATGGAGATTTTACAGTTTGGAAAAGGTTTCAGTTTAAGCTCTGCTTAAGTAAGGTATCTTGTGCATTACAGTGATTGGAGAGTAGGAAGAAGCAACTAGAGAGCATTATGTCTTCAAGTCCTATTAGGTGCAATGTCTCATTCATCAACAATTTGATCGATGACACAGCACCCTTCACCAAATGTCCGCAAATTAATACAAGCCGCTCGCTCTATTTTTCGAATGCAAAGTATATATAAATTCACATATATTTTCTTGGGCAATGGCACAATAAAGTTGAACGATAGGAAACCTTTCGAAGTGTTGGGATATTTAATATTAAATTCACCAGTCAAAAGAAAATTAAAGAGAAGAATTTTGAAGGTTAATTTTCTTGAAGCTAATAAATGCATAAATGAAGTTCAAAGATCATATTGAAAGGTGTTGTCATTAATGATGGGAAAATCTAGAATCTAACTTCACCGTTGAGGGGTGGAGGAAAAGGGGGTGGAGGACTTGTTATTTGCATTAAGTGATCCAAGAAGAATCTTTGTGTTCTCTAAAATTATTCTCCTCTAAATATTCTGCAGTTCGTAGCCACTTGTGTTTATGAGTGTCAAACATACTGTGAGTGGATTGATAGAAGAGGAGTTTACTGTTGTGCGCGGCGGAAGCTTTCTAGGGCAACACGAACAATAACTCGAACTAAAACCACAAACAATATGCAAACCACAATCACAGCAAGAACACACAATTTACGTGGTTCGGCAAGTTGCCTACGTCCACGGGGCAAGGAGGGGGGAGTTCTTTCTACTAGAAATCAAGAAAATACAAATAGGGTTACAAATCTCTCAGACCAAACCCTAAAACAAAGCTCTAGATCTCTCAAAGCTCTCTCACAATTGGATGCAATGATTCTCTCTCTTTGGCTGCTCAAATTCGTCCAACCTCTACCCTAAACAAACAGGTTTAGGTATATATAGAACTTACAAAACGAATCGGGTCGAAAACCTGAAAGCCCAGTCCAAAACAGCGTCGGTCGACCGGACCGGTCGACCGCGATCAATTCCGGTCGACCGGCCCGGTCGACCGATCACCATCCAGCAGAACCCCTAAAACTCCAGAGAACCGTCGGTCGACCGGGCCGGTCGACCGATCTCCTTGTGCACGAATGCGGTCGACCGGACCGGTCGACCGCCGCCTGCTCTGCCTCTGTAGTAGAGAGAGCCACTGTGGACTGAAGCGTGCAACGCCAACATACAGGTGCACCTGCCAATGTAAAAGCATAACCTGACGTAGACCGGCGTTTGTCAAGATCTCCAGCATAATCTGAATCCACATAACCAATACAAGCCTGCCCGTCCTTCTCATCCTTCTGAAACACTAAACCAACATCCACGGTGCCTCGAACATACCGTAGAATCCACTTCACGGCCTCCCAGTGACCCTTCCCGGGGTCATGCATGTATCTCGATACCATGCTCACGGCCTGTGACAAATCTGGCCTCGTACACACCATCGCATACATCAAGCTACCTACTGCACTAGCATATGGGACCTTCGACATATAATCTCTGTCCTCAACTGAAACAGGTGACATCAACGCTGAAAGCTTGAAGTGGGGAGCCAATGGTGTGCTAACTGCTTTTGCATTGCCATCAAAGCTGAATTTCTTCAACATCTTCTGCAAGTAGCTCTTCTGTGTAAGCTTCAATTTCCCCTTCACCCTGTCTCGCTCGATCTCCATACCCAATATCTTCTTTGCCTCTCCAAGATCCTTCATCTCAAACTCGGATGATAACTCCTCTTTCAGCTTTCGAATAGCTGAAGAATTCCTGGAAGCAATAAGCATATCATCAACATATAAAAGCACATATATGAGCTCACCATCCTGTAGCTTGTGAATATAAACACATGGGTCATATGGGCTCCTTGTGTACCCTCGGCCAATCATAAAGCCGTCGAATCTCTTATACCACTGTCTTGGTGACTGCTTCAAACCATAAAGAGACTTCTTCAGCTTACAAACCAAATTTTCCTTTCCTGCAGCTTTGAAACCCTGTGGTTGTGTCATGTAGATCTCCTCATCTAAATCACCGTGTAGAAAGGCTGTCTTCACATCCATCTGGACCAAATCCAAATTCAACTGTGCCACCAACGCCAATAAAATCCGAATCGACGAATGCTTCACAACGGGTGAAAATACCTCGTTGTAATCAATGCCCTCAAGCTGTGCATATCCCTTGGCAACTAATCTGGCTTTGAACCGAATGTCCCCAATAGAAGATCCCTCCTTCTTCGCATATACCCACTTGCAACCAATAGCTTTCTTACCCTTAGGTAGATGTGCAAGTGTCCAAGTGTCGTTCTTCTGAAGAGACCGCATCTCCTCCTCCATAGCTTCCCTCCACCTGATCGAATCGGGGCTAGACTCTGCCTCCCTGAATGTGGCTGGAACCATATCATCAACGACCTCCACTGATAATGCATATGCGACCATGACATCATTATACCTAGCTGGCCGACGAATCTCTCTCCTCGGTCTATCTGCTGCAATGGTCCTCTGAACATGATCCTGTTCCTGAGTCCCATGATCTACTGTATCCTGTATCTGCCCATCTGTCATCTCATCTCCCCCCAGTGTCACCTCTGTAGGAGCCTCAATGGATACAGTGTTCTCTGGAGTGGATGGAGTCACATCATCCTCCACCTGCTGCAATATCTCTCCTGTCTGGTCTCCCTCCACCTGCTGAGGGGCTCGAGGCCTCATCATGTACGCCTCGTCAAATGTGACATCTCTGCTAATAACTATCTTCTTGTCCTGTGGATCCCATAACTTGAAGCCTTTGACTCCATCCCTAAATCCCACAAAGACTGCTTTCCTCGCTCTCGGATTTAATTTGCCATCACTGACATGATAATAAGCTGGACACCCGAATATCCGAAGCGACTCATAGTCACTAGCCTCCGAATCAAACCAACGCTCCAAAGGAGTCTTCCCGTCTATCGCAGTGCATGGTAACCTGTTCACAAGATGGCTCGCATAAACCAACGCCTCGGCCCAAAAAGATCTAGGCAATCCACTCTACCAACGCTCCAAAGGAGTCTTCCCGTCTATCGCAGTGCACAGCAACCTGCTCATAAGATGGCTCGCATAAACCAACGCCTCGGCCCAAAAAGATCTAGGCAATCCACTCTGCGTCATCATACACCGCACCTTCTCCAGCAAGGTACGGTTCAATCTCTCAGCCACCCCGTTCTGTTGCGGTGTCTCTCGAACTGTGAAGTGTCTTCTAATGCCGTGATCCCGGCAAAACTGCAGAAACGGATCACTCTTGTACTCTCCACCGTTATCTGAACGTAGAGTCTTCACCTTTCTACCTGTCTGCAGCTCCACTTTCTTTTTCCACTCCACAAAAATATCCAGGACCTGATGTTTATGCTTCATCGGGTATACCCAATTCCTCCTGGAATAATCATCAATGAAAGTGACAAAATAGTTGGCCCCACCAAGAGATGTGTTCTTGGAAGGACCCCAAACATCCGTGTGAATATAATCCAATGTACCTTGGGTGTTATGAACAGCGGTGCCGAACTTCACTCTAGTCTTCTTCCCAAGTACACAATGCTCACACAATTCCATCTTGCAGGTCTTAGCACCTTTCAATAGCCCCTGTTTAGCCAATGACTGTAGGGACTTATCTCCTGTGTGTCCAAGTCTCATGTGCCATAAGGTGGTAGTGTCCTCCTCTGTAGTGATAGAAGCTGCCAGACCCCCTGTAACTGTCTTGCCCTTCAAGTAGTATAGGTAGTTTTCCCTGACACCTCGCATCACCACCATAGAACCCTTCGTGACCTTCACTGTAGCATCCTCTAAGATCACTCGATATCCTGCTGCCTCCAAAGTCCCAAGAGAAATGATGTTCTTCGTCAACTGCGGCACGAACCTCACTTCCTTCAATTCCCTCACTACACCATCATGCATCCTGATCCGGACTGAACCAATACCACCAATAGGGCATACGTGATCATTACCCATAAGCACGACATCCCCTCTTTCCAGCTCCTCAAAGCTAGAAAACCACTCCCTCTTAGGGCAGATGTGATATGTAGCTCCCGAATCCATCATCCACTCCGTGGAATCCGCATAGCAAACCGACGGTAAAGCAGGGCATGAATAGCCTGAAGAATCTGAATCTGAATGCTCACCAATAGCTTTTGCAACATTCACTTCTGAAGCTTGTGCAGCTTTCCCCTTATTCTTTCCGGCTTTTTCTTTCCACTTTGGGCAGTCAATCTTCCAATGTCCTTCTTCTTTACAATACCGACATTGATTTCTACCAACACTCTTATAGGCACTCCTATTCTTTGACTTTGAGCGGTTGAACTGACGACGGTTTGGATCTCGGCCTCGAACTGCTAACGCATCTCCCGATGCCTTCTCGGAGGGTTCACCATCACTCTTCCTCAACTCATAGTTCACCAAAGCTGAGGTCACCTCCTTGTAGCTAACTGTAGTTCTTCCATTGATCATAGTGAGAACGAACGTACCATAATC